CCCTTCTTTCCTTTTCTAATTTTTGTTTCCTTTTTCAAAAAATTTCTTTTTTCACTTATGCATAATTATGTATTTTTCTATTTTTTTAAACTTATTTCTTTTTATCGATGACATTTGTGATTATATTTAATTAAAATATTATTAATTAATATTTTGATCCTTATATTTATAACTATATTTTTTTTATGGAATTTATTTAGTATATTATTTTACAACTATTTTTTTTTTAATTTGCCTTTTTGATTTAAAAAATTTATATTGTCATATTTATTAAAAAAAAAAATTTGTTAACAAGTGCTTTGTGCCCCCTCTGAAATAAAATCCTGGCTCCGCCCCTAATTATTGGCAATGGAGGATTTAGTAACGTGTATAAACAATACATAGACAAAATGATACTGCTTCCACCACGGTTAAGATGAAAGAGGTTGAACCCTGAAACTGAGATCGTGAAGCTATCTAAGCTCACACACACCCATTTGGTGCCTCTGATTGGTTATTGTGATGATGATCTTGGTGTATGAATGTATGGCCCACGGAGCTCTCCCTGATCATCTCTATAAATCAAACAATGTTTGTTACAGTTCTGATATCTCACACATGTAAAACACTCATGTGTCGATCACAATCGTCTTCTGATCACTTATGCATGTAAAAGACTCACGTGTCGATTACAATCGTCTTTTGATCTTTTATGCATGCAAAACACTCACACGTCGATTACAATCGTCTTTTACTATATGTTACATGGTAAATCCAAAAAATGTAAGCTATCGGGAGAAACTTTAGTGCGCCCATTGAACGGTTTTTCACTGCTAATCCAGCCCAAGTGGCAAGGGGTTGAGGTTCAGAGCTTCAGATGTATGTCACAAGACTCAAGTACTGATTTAATGCCATGGAAATAAGAAAGGAGGACAACTTGTGACATTTGTGGCCCTAGCTTACAGACTTCTCTCATTCAACGCATATGTTATTACACTTGAAACATTAATGAAACGAATTCGAAGAAAAAGTGAATGCCATTAGAAAACACTCTCTGTTTCACTCTTCATTAAAGGGACCATGGTATAATTGTATTTTAAACACCACATAATTGGGCAAAATGTGGCATTATTAGTTAACTGTACTGACCAGCGTTGACTCTAAACATGGTCTCTAGAGGAGGGAGGTAAAAATAATCGGTCGTTACAGCAGCTCAAGTAGATTGAATAAAAATTATGACACATGAATTACCAATTTGATATGCCAAGTATGACTGCATGTTTATCAGCTTTTTAAATTAAGAAGCTCGTTTCTCATTTTTCAAAAAAATAAAAAAATCAATGGAAAGTAGTAAATAAGAAAACAACTAGTTCACAGTAATATAATTTTAATAAACGCACCATTGTCTCATTTATCCTTTTTATTATCTATTTCATTCAATCAAATAATAGAGGAGACGTCTTCCTTTTTTTAGGGATGCCTCGGCCACCTCTCCCCTATATCTTTCATCAATTTTTTCATTTATACAACCAAATGAAGTATAAAAAAATTAAACAATGCAAATATTGATTTAGAACGCGTAACTATTTACATCAACCTCTCTATATCTTCATGGGTTCATCTTTCAAGCAATTCTCTTTCCTATCACCTATGTTGCTGGATCCCAAAATAATCACTATATTGCCGAAATTATCTCCATCACTTGCCGGTCACAAGTAAATGAATTGTACGAGGTTTTCATCAACACCGATATGAGATTAGATGGACATTCTCGTCTCTACTTCAAATAAAATATTTTCTTATTTCAAACCATGATCACAATGGAACAATCAAGGTTTGTTCTTATTTAAATAAATAAAAAAATAAAGTAAAAAATAAATAAGTAAAACATAGACTAATGTTTTTGGAGGATATTGTTTCTAATTAGGATATTGTTTCTAATTGTCTAATATGTCTTTACCTTCACATTACCCAATTTCAAGGCATTTAATTTTTTCTTTTAATGATGGCAGATTTTTATATATACTACTAATTAATAGAATGCAAATTCAAAGAGTTTGATGAACAAGTCACATTATGTCCAAGATTAGCTAATATATATACAATGCTCAACCTCATTAACACTCTTTATATAAGAAACAAAACCTTACTGCTTTCATTATTAACAATATATAATACATGAATGAATGCACATTCAAAAAAAATCATTGAAATGAAGTGCATTAAATTAGAAGAGCATATTCAATAAATTAACAAGAGATTATATACAAAGTTACAAACACACACACACACACTGAATTGAAGAGAAGACTTACCTGTCCCATGTAGTCACTGGTTGGCCAAGCGACCGAGTTTGAGAACGTGAAGCGTCCCTTCACAAATTTTGTTATACTTAAAAAAATTTAACAATTATATACATATATATATATGGGATTTACCAAACATATTAAAAAGTCTGGAGATAGTAACACTATGATTTAAAAGAATAAGCTAACCCATAAAATTAACAAAAACATGCACACCAGTTGGGTATGGGTTTGTTTTTTCTACAATGTGAACAAGCGTGCAAGTGTCACAAAATGAGCTGGCTTTGCATTGTCCCTCAAGAAAAAATAAAATTTAAAATAAAATAAAATCATTAGATGGAAAGCTTCCATAAAAACAAAATAAAATTTTCATTTAGCCAAATTTATAGAATTTTATATCACAAAAAAGGGCCCCTTATTAAATCAAGCACAGGAAGGCTAGCTACAATCAGACAACTGTAATATATATATATATATATATATATATATATATATATATATATATATATATATCACATGTTATTTTATGTGCACCGACAGTACTGAAATACATTTTGTATTGAAAAGGTCAAAAGAAGCATGGATCAATATTAGTTCACCATAGGTATGGGCCCTCTTTAATTTGTATTTAGTACCGTAAATCAGCTACGTGTTTAGTATCTGCTCAAACTGTCGGCAATGGATGAAATTGAATCCTTAAATCAGCTATATTGTTGTCACTTTCTTAACTTTCACCCTTTTTTTTATTATTATTATTTTTTTTTGTCTAAACTAATAAGTCCAGTTAGACAATATGACACAAACACATACACATGTATGATATTTTTCAGCGACTGTAGTAAAAAAATTTCTTCATGTCACCGTAAAAATATAAGAGTAATGATATGCGTATGAGAAAAAAGTCAAGGGTTCTACTTTTTATATTTGGTATGTATTGACCAATTTTATACAGTAGATCTATTAATTCGGTCTAACTATTTGATGCAAATATTATTACTCAAAATATAATTACCAAGAGCAAGAGATCATTATGCCATCTTATTAAATATTTATCCATAAATTTATCTTTGTGGAAAAAAAAATATTTATTGTGGAATTTTATTTTAATTTGGGCTTCGTTTGTTTGAATGTAAAATATTTTTCATAAAATAATTTTTTTTTTGGTGTTTGATTATCGTAAAATATTTATGAAGAAAAAAATTATTAAAATTTAACAATATTAACTTACTTATCAATTTTCGCCAAATTATTTTACTTGAGATGGACTTGACCTATGCCTTTGCCAAAAAAAATAAAAATAAAAATAAATATAATAAAATATTTTACCTCAAAAAAGAAAATCTTTTATAAAGAAAATATTTTACTTCAAAACAAACTGAATCAATTAGTCTTAGATATCATCTCATCAACAATGTTAAATTTTATTTTTACACAAAAAAAGCATGTATTGTTAAATTTTATTTCGATTTGGTTGTTCAATTAATCTAACTAGTAAGGACTATAATCTAATGGCATTTCTCTACAGAAAATTTTTTTTTCTCCATTTATTCTCTCATTGGATTGGTCCACTGAGGGATAAAAAAGCTAACTTGAGGACTTCATCGCTGCCTAAAAAAGAATGAGAACCCAACAAAACGACACAAAACAAAAGAAGAACTAAACGAAAACGATGCATATATATATATATATATATATATATATATATATATTTGCTAAGTGTGGGCGTTTTAGACAAACTTTAGTAACATGATTGCGTTGATTTCCTTAACTATCTGTGTATATACAAGGAAAGGTGGAAAAGGAAAAAAGAAAAGAAAAGAAAAAAAAAAGAAAAAAAAGAAAAAAAAAAGGAAAACAACACGGAATTGTAATAGTTAGAGAAAAACTCTTTTTTTTTGGTTCAATTTTTCTCTTTAGAATTAAAGGTTAGAGTGGGGTAAGATTTAATTTATGGTGCAAGAATTAAAGTTATTCAATTTAATCGAATCCTACGCAATTTCAGGATTTGGAGAAAGAAGAATTAAAGTTGTTCAATTCGACTGAATTCTATGTAATTTCAAAATTTGGAGTAGTTTTGAGAATTGAGTGATTTCAATCTATTTTTGAGGTAAGAGTAAACCAACCCATAATTATATGATTTGTTCTTCTTTTTAGTTTTGTTTGAGTAACAAGTTCCATATACATATTTTAATTTTTGTTAAATTGTTTTAAAGTGAAATTATTTTGCGTTTTAATTTTATTTTAATTTCAATCAAAAGGAAAATTAAAATTGTATAATGATATACTCTCTAATAGAGTGCTATTTGTACCTATGGTAAAATAAAAGTAAATTTTTTTCTTAACTTGGTGACTTAAGACTATACCGTCACATGACTAATTGGAGGATTTTTCCCCATCTTTACGATGCAAAGTAAAGGAAAAAAATTTAGGGTTCAAATTCTTAAAGTGAGATATTTTTTTTTATTCTTTAATATTATTATTATTATTATTATTATTTTTTCGAAAGGTCTTTAATATTATTTCTCCCGTTGAGTACGGCTTTAATTTAGCTGTCACTAGTTTACAGCAATACTTAGCTGTCAATGAATGAATTTAGCTTCTTCAATAATTATTGTGTATATAATTGAAAAGGTTCGTTAGATATAATAAATATAGATAGGAAATTGCAAAAAAATCATATAAAACAACTACGTCTAGTTAACAAGAACATTGATTTGTTTAACAAATAGCAATCTTATATTAATGCCAAAAATCTGCATTGGTCCACTTTACCAATCAAGTCCACTTACCTACTAATAATCTAAACGAACCTGCCAGGTGAGAGTGTGAAAAAGCTCTCTCTCTCTCTCTCTCTCTGTTGCAGATCTTGAGCAGGAACCAACGAAGAAAAGTTGAGCATTTGCAACAAGAAATGGGATGTTGCTTCAGATCTGTGACCAAGTTCACCACTTGGACCTGTGTTCTTGTGTTCTTGCTTTCTTGCTTCAGCTTTAGTTCATCAGGTTAGCACATTGATGTCTCTTCTATCTCTAAATCTTACTAAATTTGGAGTCTTGTTGCTGTTTATTGATGCGTGGTTAATGGGTTTTGGGTACTTTCAAAGATTTGACTCGTTTTAGTGTATACTGCTTCTTGAAGCCTAATTGACTGATGGAATTGGAAAATGAGGAAATGGGTCATCCATTTCAGGCATTTTTGTTGTTTTGGATTTCTGTTTGATGCTCATTTTAATGAATTTTAGTAGTTGAACTTGAGATTTAGCTCTAATTTTAGCTTTTCTTTAAAATGGATTATACGAAAATTCCAAATTAGTAAGAACTTGATTTCTCTCTCTCGGGTGCATGGTGATTAAGCTTTTAACTTACTTTGTAGTGTAGATGATGAAATAATTGAACTGGAAAGAGAAGGTTTTGTGTTTGTTATAATGACGCAGAGAAAAAGTCAATCCTAAATTAGATCTACTTTCTCTTTCCCAATATTTACTTCGTCAGATGTAGCCCAATGGCCAGAAGAAATTTTCACTCTGTTTCTTTATTCCTGGTTAAAAATGTATTTCAAGTCGCAATCAAATACTTAACTCCTGAATTTCCAGGAATTGGGTCTCTAGGAATTCCAGAATTGGAGACATAGATAACACACTTCTTTTCTACATTCCCTCTTTATCTTGTTCTTTCTTCTATTTCTTAAACATGATCATTGTCAAACTGAGATTTGGTTGTGAATTAAATCTATTTATTTGCTGAGTGTGCCAAATAAAAAAAAAAAAAAAAACTCTTATTTTTAATGTTTTGCGATCCCATCATGATTTTTGTAGTTGGGTGTAGATAGGGAAAAGTTGCTGCAAATTAGATAATGTAAAGTATTAACGCAAAATTTTACATAATAATTTAAGGACAATCCGCATTTAAGGAGCTTGGCATTTCATCTGCCTTGCTAACAAAGAACAATTTTTATTTTTTGAAATGATATCTTTATTAGATAAAGGATTTTTGGATCTGTGATCTAAGTTTATTATGTGTCTTGTTAGCTCTATAAGGACTTTTGTTATTAATTTCACAATGAAAAGAAATTTGATTTATAGGTTTTCTGTTCAACTGTGTCCTAACATTAATTTGGGCTTCTATTTTCTCTGGATACAAGTTTTACAGTATCTAGAACAAAGGGTTATTAACCTTTCTTGCTGGTTGGTTTTTCAGAAGCCTATGATGCACTTGACCCAAATGGAAATATTACAATTAAATGGGACGTTATTACCTGGACTCCAGATGGCTATGTTGTAAGTACTAGTAAACTAGTATTCAATCACGTTTTCTGACTTTTTTCCCTTTTGAATTATACTTTCAAATTTATTTAGAATTAAGTTAATTCTTACAAGAAACTGTGCTAATCATTTGTATTCTATGAAATGGTTATGGGTGCTGTTGTTGTTACTATGAAATGGTAATCATTTTCTGAAGTTCATTTTCCAGTATTGATAAAAAAAAAGGTGGCTTTATTTTTGACAATTGTAGTTGATAATTTCTTCGGATTTGCAAAAATTCTTTTTAGCTTTAATTAGGTCAGAGGGGCAACTCTTAGAATGTTTGATCTCATTAAAAAACTGATTCAAAAATTCGGATTTTTAAAAAAGAAAAAAATAATTCTTCAGTCATGTCCAAAACTTGCAGCAATACTTCAAGGTACCTTTCCTCCCTGCATTAAATATTTAAACAGCTTCTTACTGGAAATTGCACAGGCTGTTGTCACAATGTTCAACTTCCAGCAATATCGTCACATTCAAGCACCAGGATGGACACTAGGATGGACATGGGCAAAAAAGGAGGTGATATGGAGCATGATGGGAGCCCAAACTACAGAGCAAGGAGATTGTTCAAAATACAAAGGGAACATTCCGCATTGCTGCAAGAAGGATCCAACGGTTGTCGACTTATTGCCGGGAACTCCTTACAACCAGCAAATTGCGAATTGCTGCAAGGGAGGAGTAATCAACTCATGGGTGCAAGATCCAAACAATTTTGCGAGCTCATTCCAGGTTAGTGTGGGTGCAGCTGGAACCACTAACAAAACAGTTCGAGTGCCCAAGAACTTCACCTTGCAAGCACCTGGACCGGGTTATACTTGTGGACCTGCAAAAATTGTTAAACCTACCAGGTTTGTTAGCCAAGATGGAAGGAGAGTCACACAAGCTATGAGTAAGTTACCGGACAAAGATTGTAGAGTACTTCAGTTAGACTTATTTATGTTTATTCCATGCTTGAAGGCCAAACCTGCACAATTATACAGTCATTTCATAGCTGAGAAAACAGATTAATCTAAAAGTAACATTGCTACTCAAAGTAATCTAAAACTATAGCTTAGGAAGGTCAATACATCATTGAGTTTATGGTGTCCTGAACTGAAATGCATGTTATAAAGTTGCTATTTAAACAATCATAATTTCGGGAACAAATTCTTTCAAAATGGCTGTTGATTTTCTATTGCAAGGAGTTTGAGTTATTTAAGACTTGTGTCAATATTTAGAAAAGTATCATACGCAGTCATATTGTCATGATGAAGGGAAAAATTCCTTCTTTTTTTTCTTTTGTGCGTCTCCAAAGGGTCCTAATGAAGATATTTAGACCGGTACCTTTAAACTTATTGGATATTAATCCCATCTTTCTGTCATGGCAGTGACATGGAATGTTACATGCACATATTCACAATTTTTGGCTCAGAAAACTCCAACTTGCTGTGTTTCTCTATCATCCTTCTACAATGACACAATAGTACCCTGCCCAACATGCACCTGTGGCTGCCAAAACAACGCCACTCAGCCAGGGAGCTGCGTTGAGTATGTTCTCTTAAAATTATTTTTCTGCATCTTCCTGCTTTTCTCTTCTTGTAACAAGATTTAAAAGAGGAGATTTTTCTTCGAGCTTCTTCTAATATGAATATAATTTTTTCCTGCTGATTTACAGCCCAAAGTCACCGTATTTAGCTTCTGTTGTTTCCGGCTCTAGCAAGAACAACTATGCTCCTCTGGTACAATGTACGAGCCATATGTGCCCAGTCCGAGTTCACTGGCATGTTAAGCTTAATTACAAGGAATACTGGCGGGTGAAGGTCACAATTACGAATTTCAATTACAGGATGAACTACACACAGTGGAACTTAGTTGTGCAACATCCCAACTTTGACAATCTGACTCAGGTTTTCAGCTTTATGTACAAGCCATTAAATCCTTACCAAGCTATAAGTAAGTCAGATATTTGATTCTATCTGCTTTTGCTTGTCCTTTATTGTTTGCTTATTTTTTGTGCGGCAATAGATCTGTTTGGTGAATGCATTAATCTATTGTATATGTATTGCCAATTTTTTCTTTTGGTTATAGTTGTAGTCTCAGTTCAAACTACGTAAATGTTTTTCTCTTTGTTCCTAAGATTGTTGTAATTTGAGAATTGATACAAGAATCTTTTCCCCCCTTCCAAATACAGATGACACTGCCATGCTATGGGGAGTTAAGTTCTACAACGATTTTCTCTCGTCAGCTGGCCCTCTAGGCAATGTACAGTCAGAGCTACTTTTCCGAAAGGATACATCAACTTTCACTTTCGATAAGGGTTGGGCATTTCCTCGAAGGATCTATTTCAATGGTGATAATTGTGTTATGCCACCTCCTGATGCCTATCCGTATTTGCCAAATACCAGTTCCCGGCCAGATGTCTCAATGCTTACTCTAATGCTGACTCTGTTGTCATCTTTGGTATTCATCTATGCAAATGCTTAGAATCTTCTCAACAATACAATTATTGCACAAATTTACACTGGATCAGTCCGACCTCAGAACCAATGGCAAACCAATTGAATAGTTTGTGTCTGGGCAATGACATTAAGCATTCCCATGTGTTCAGGTGCGTGTCATTGAATAGAACTCCAATTTATGTTTTGGATTGGTGAATTCATGGCCATTTGTTACTTGCAAGTGTTTACTGCAGTATCATTGTACTAAATTATACTGTTTGTAGATTTTTTTCACATTAAAATGGTGTTACAGTTTGTCCCAAAAATAAAAAATAAAAAAATGAAGTGTTACACTTGTTACAAGAACAAAAACACTCAGAATCTTTTGCTAAATCAAAGTGTTGGTTGTATTAGTTTTGTTCACACTCCTAATTTTATTTCTTGTGCAGTCTCAACTTATGTAGTGAATTTAATGGCACCTGTGCCATTAAATTAACATCTTCATTTGGTAAAGTGAAATTATATTATACAGTGCGAAATTTCTTTATATTGGAATCTGTTCTTATCATACATCCTTTTTTTCAACATAGCAAGATACAGATGAAGTTCTTAGTTTACAGCCTTGTAATATCAATGAAGAATTGAAGGAGAGTTCATTACAGAAGGTTCATATTTTGTTGTTCCTATTCACAAACTCATTGTGTCATACCAAATTTCCACAACTCAATCTCTTTTTGTTTTTTCAAAGAATTTATGTTGTGTACCTGTGCTCCCAATCATCGGCATGCTGCCCCCCTGGCTTCAAAAAATTCATGTTCTATCAAACTGCTCAAAATCACCATATTACAATTAAGAACAGAAATACTGAATAAATAAGTGTCGACAGTCTAACTAAGTTTTCAGGGGCAGAATTTGGTAGATATGGGTATGTATCAGGTGGTGGCAGCATGCACTCATCGCCGTTAAAGTAAACTTTCCTGGGAAATGCCCATCCCTGCTTGAAGCTGAAAGTGTCCCTGTCCTTCTGAAGTAGCACCTCTGACTGAACATTTCCAAATGGCCCAGCCTCCATTAGTAGGTCATTGTAGAACTTCATACCATAGAACATTCCTGTGTCATCTGCATATCAAAACATTGTCCGGCAAGATTAATTTCTTGAATTCTTTCCCCTGGTAATTCAGAAAGAGTTAAAAAGTTTTAGGGTACTCACTTATTGACTGATAGGGCACAAGAGGCTTGTAATCAAAGCTAAAAACTTGAGTCACATTGTTGAGATTCGGATGCTGAACAACCAGTGTCCACAGCGTGTAGTTCATTCGGTAGTTAAAGTTTGTTATCGCAAGCTTCACTCGCCAGTATTCCTTGTAGTTCACCTTTACATGCCAGTGCACCCGGACCGGGCACATATGGTGTGTGCACTGTAGTAAAGGTGCATTGTCTTTTCTTGGAGTGTTCACTCCAACCACGCTTAGCAGTTTGGAATCGCTCCTGTATCACCGTTAAACTATTTAGATGCTAGATCTTACACAGCTATATATGTGTGTGTCTGTGTTTCTATGTAATTAGAGTTATGTAAGTTCTGATGCTGAAAGTTGTGGCTTACTTGACACATTTTTTCTTGTTTTCACAACCACAAGCACAAGAAGGACAAGGAGTGATTGTATCATTGTAGAAAGATGAGAAGGAGACACAACAACTAGGGTGTTTTCCGGCGAGAAACTGGGAATAAGTGCATGTAACATTCCATGTCACTGCATGCACATACAAAAATTAGATATGAAACAGATTATACCAGCAACAATAATAGGGATTGAGGAAATTGTAGGACAAGACTTACTTAGAGCCTGAGTTTTTCTGCGATGATCAGCTGTAAGAAAAATGGTAGGAGGCACGACCTTTGCAGGGCCACAGGTGTACCCTGGTCCTGGACCTAGTAAAGTGAAGTTCTTAGGAAGTTTCACCGTCTTGTTTGAAGTCCCAGCCATGCCAACGCTCAACTGGAAGGCAGAGACGGCTGAGGACGGATCTTGGCCCCACGACCCCACGACTCCGCCTTTGCAGCAGTTGGAGAACTGTTGGTTGTAAGGGACTCCAGGGAGCAAATCCACAACAGTAGGGTTCTTCTTGCAGCAATGTGGAATGTTGCCTTTGAATTTGGAGCAGTCCCCTTGCTCGGTGGTTTGAGATCCCACCACAGACCATATCACTTCTTTCTTAGCCCATGTCCATCCTAGGGTCCAGCCAGGGCTCATGATGTGCCGGTACAGTTGAAAATTGCTCATAGTTACAACTGCCTATACAATTCAAGAAGAAACCTCAGGATCACAATACAGTAAGATGCATTGGTACATATTTATAAGCTAATAGTAAGATTAACATTGTTGAATTTCATGAGTCTGATTTGGTTTTAGATTGAATTTGTACATAAAATTAAGGGTATGTTTAGTTTAGTTTTCTAGCAATAATTTTTTGTTTTCTGAGAACTGAAAATTAGAAAACACACTTAAAAAAAATACCGGTTTTCAGAGAAGTGTTTGTAGATGGATCTCTGTATTTTCTAAGTTACTTAAAACTGTTTTTAGAAAACTGAAGTAAACAGGCACTGTAGTACTCACCACATAACCATCTGCAGTCCAAGACATTATATCCCATTTGATTGTGATGTTACCGGTTGGATCCAACGGATCATATGCAACTGAAATTCGAAAACAAGTGTAAGAGAGAATGGAATAGACATGACTAAATCAATTCAGATTGAAGTTCGAGTTGTGAAAGTTCAGTTACCTGCATAAGAAAAGAGCACAAGAAAAGAGAAAGCTGATGAGATGAAAATTTTCATCTCTGCAATGCTCTGCTATACTGTTGTTTGTCAATTGTGGAAGATGAGAGTTGAGTTCTGTCTCATGGAAGTTTACAGGCTGGTTCACAACTTGTGTCAGTTCAGTTGATATATATGTATATGCAAGAAAATGAAGACTCTCTGCAGTGAGAAATGTCTAGAATTTTGAGATGGCTTACCTACTGGTTGTTATATATATATATATATATAAATGCACACACGCACATATATTTAATTATCTCTCTCTTCCCATATTCATATTTCTGTTAGACTTACTGTATCTTAAAGCAACGACTTTAGAGGAGAAACGGGCGGGAGATTGAGCAAGACATTTTAACGGTCACCTGCCCTGGAAGGTGACAGGCAATGAAAGAATTAGGTGTGCTTAGTGAATTACCCAGAATGACCCTGTGTCCAAGCAAACAACCAAAATAAACACAGCCACTAATTAATTTCCTGAGGGAAAAAAAAAAAAGGTGGCCACTAATTTTTATACTCCGTACCATGATTCGCAGTTGCGGTATAACGGATTCGTGTAAATATCGATGTAAACCGACTGAATCACCCGGTTCATGGACGTATATAACAACTCATCACAAGTTCGAACAAAATTAAATTTGCATGGTACCTATGTCTCTTATTGTCATAAAGTTTAAAATATACACATGAACGCCGTTACCTTGGTTCGTTGTATCGTCCGATACGCGATTCTTTTTTAAGTCTAATACGCAATCTGTGTCAGTCAATTTATACTAGCTTTGTCCGAATCTGTTATACCGCGACCGTGACCGATATTGCGAACCATTACAAGAGCAAATAGGAAGAGGGCATTTTGGTCTTAATGTGGAACAGTGGTAGCTTTGATGATTTTTTGGCTACTGCCATTCCTTGCTTGGGGAATTTTATAAAAATAGTCCCACGTTTTTGGTCAGTGGGAAGAGTTCGAGTCAAGTAAGCAATGGTAGGGACAAGTAGGGAGTCCCCTTCAGAAAAAAAGAGACACTCCAACCGATAATTCAACCGACTTTTGAGTGCTTCAACAGTGGATGTACCCAATTGCTCTCTTTCTGTGGTCCTTTTGCACTCAATACACACGTTCAATTATTACATGCCATGGTTGTTGAGGTGGTAGGGTTTTACTTGAGATCTCAAATTTAGATCCCTGTTTAATCCATATCCGTAATTTGATAGTGATTGCATATATTCAAAGTTTATGTTGTATTTACGTTTTTAAAGAGAGAGTACGAGAGACAAAAGATAATACCTACTAGCTTTTCAAAAAAAAAAAAAATATTATAAAAGAATCTCCTTAGGTTCGGTGGTGATAATCGAACCAAAACCTTGTAGCATAAACTGTTTGAAGTTTGTTAAGGCTATATTTCATGTGTACTTTTCGCTAATCAAGTGACTTCTAAAATTCTTAATGCGAACTTTGTGTCTCACGACAAGTTGGATGATTGACGCGTCATGAGATTGTGGGTATGATTATTTCTAAAAAAATATGGATGCTGAAGAAAGAAAAAAATATATATATTTCATCTATTCCTATCCCGAAATATTCATGTAGGATGCAATAAGGCTTAATGGATAGCAAGATTGAAATGGCAAATATATATGAGTAATAATATGCTCTTCGAATTTGACGAATGTCCTGAATGATGTAATGTGATCGGATTCACACTCTCTCACATTAACCTTATTCCGAATCCCTCTAAAATTAGAGGGTGTACCGTTTTTTTAATATATATTTCTCTCTTCTTGATGATTTCTCCATTTTCTAGAGTGGCTCCATTCTAGTTTATTTACATATTTGTTTAACCACACATCAATTTATCTACTTGAAAGCAATTATGTTAAATAAGAATCTTAAATCCATTAAGTCCTAACGAAAGTCATATTATTTACTGTTGTGTTTGCTAGCATGGATCAAGAAATGAAAGAAATATCATTTTTCTAAATAAATTTGACTCCAATATTATTTATTCACCTTTTTCTAAAATTTCCTCATAGTAATTTTGGGCTCTGCTCAAGGTCCACTTGGTCACAACACAAATGGATCCTCCAGTCATAGTTCGAATGAAACGGTTTCAATATGGTGGCCCAATGTCCGACCCAATCTATTTATGTGGCCCAAATAGGCCCAATCTATTTATGGCCAAGCTGGCCTAATCTAACCATGTGGCCTAAGTTGGGTTCAATGTGCTTTCTGTAGAACTTGATAGTCATGGTCTCACTGCCCCAGTCACTTGAATTCTACACCTGTAAAGCAAGGAAAACTCTGGGACAGAGACCCGAGAGCCAAGAGGGCCAAGACCACAAGGTCAGCCTCATTAGACTTGCAATGCATAGCCCATTAAAGGTTGAATTTGTATCCCAATGGGCTTTTACACCCAAAGTTTAATTAGCAATATATATTTATTTTTCTGAATACAAGTGAACAATGAGAAGATAGGGCTCTTGTTTGCTGCTGCAATTTGATAAAAAATGAGAATTTATTTTTATTTTTTTGTATTTACTGGGAAAAAAAAGAAGGGTTTTCATAACTTTACAAAAGAAAAAGAAATCAAAGAAAAATTTAGAAAGCAACAGTCAATTTGAAAAAATAATTTTTAAAGTAAATAGTCAAACCCAATAGTCTAACCGAATCACTTAGAACTTTCAAATCCATTAAAGTAAGTCTCTTCGTAAGAACCATTTTAAGACATCATTTGGTAGGTACGAGAAATAGGTCCAAGTATCATTACTCTTTAAATTTTAAATTTGGGGTTTTGCTATTGTGAGTGTGTGCGTTTACTTGAATTTAGTTCATCTTACTTTAGTTTGCATACATACATACATATATATATATATATATACACACACACACATACATACATACATACATTATGTAACTGAATTTGTTTAAGACTGTGATATCATGCTTATTCAAGCATGTCATCATAGGCAACTTTGATAAAAATGTTTAATTAAAAGGTGCATTAGCAAGCATGTGCAGCACATAGTCTACATGTTTCAGATTAGCAAAATCAGTACCTTTTGTGGGGTAGTTGTGTAACTCAGAAATGGCTGAAAATCAAGTACTTTGTACGCATTTGAAATACATATTTAAACAAAAAATTGTCATACACTAGAAAGTCTTAAGTTTTGTAGACATTAGATGTGCCTACTACAAACAAAAAAAAAAAAAAAAACAAAAAAAAAAAAAAAAAATGTGCCTACTACGTATTTTATGTGCACACACGATTTAATAAAAGCCTCGAGAATGGGAATTCCATGTTACCGGTCACTAGCACATAAAAACATGTTTGCAGTACAACAATAACACTAGTGTTGTATATAATTAACGAAATTATATTGTACTATATATATATATATGTATATGATATTTGTAATGAAATGATAGTGCTATGAGTGTTATTGTTGGTTTGTTTGAACAATGGGCTACAAGTAAGGCGTATTTGGAAGTGGTGGAATTAGAAAATGAAAAAAGAAATCTTTATTCATCCTTCACTCTCATATAATGGTGGTGACTCCATGATCATCCGACAGACCATGCCTGATTAGTAGGGCATGAGTCTAGGTTTTGTCCTGATCAATAATTGAATTTACGTGAGCCCTCCTTTAACAATAACAAGATAAAAAATATTACAGAGACTTAAATTTTATAATCTTTCTCAATGAGTGTTGCTTTTACGTTTCAAGCGCGCTCTCGCTCTCACGCCCCGCACGTGCTCTAACTAAAATTAATTTTTACTATTTATGACTTAATTATGTTGCTCTCATGCTCCAGCTCTCAAACTCGTTCTCGATTCCGTCCCTACATTATGTGATTTAGACAGGGAAAATAGTGGAGTATTTCTGGGGTAATTTTAAAATTTTATAGATTTATAATTACTGACTTAATGATGCTTTTTGATGTGGGGTAGTTTGGCTCTGTTTCTGGGCTGATAATGGGATTGCTTCGAATTTGCTTCAGCTCAGTTTGTGAGCTTCAGAAAAAAGAGTGCCCTTCTCAAAGAGCAGTAATTTTTTATAGAAGCCTCTTCTCTTATTTTATTTTTGGTATTATGTTTTATTCCAATTTTAATTGGAAGTTTTTGTTTTTGTGGATTTAACTCCACTTCTTTGCTATGTAATGAAGATACGTCTACCTTGTAATTGTATTTTTGAATCTTATATATATATATATATATATATATATATATAAATAAAATAAAAAATAAAAAAACAACCCATTCAGGAAAAAAAAAAATGTATATATCAATATCAATATGAAAATGTGGATAGGTTGATTGTTTAGGCTCTGGCTTATTGGACTCTAATTTGATACTGTCAGCCTGTCAGCTTGTAGTTTACATAGAACCATTTATTTAATTTGAATTATTGTTTTAGATGTCCTTAATTAATTAGTTATTTAATTCACTAGGCTTTGTGTAACAAATAAGCAAAGTCTCAATGGATTCACATACCAGACTTCAATGCTCTAAGTAGGCCAAGAGATCTGGTTAATAATGCGATTTGAACAGATGGGATTTCAAGTTTCAAACTCTTGTTAGATTCACCAAATCTTGTATCTAATTATATATATATTAACGCATGCTTGCATGATCTGTTGAGGCGTGAAATTACCAATATGAATGCTGCAAAAAGACTTTATGCATCTTGGGCTGCAATTTGAATTTATTAATTTTTTATTTTTATTTTGGATTTTTTTTACTGTGGAGGGGGATCCTTTCTATTGTAACTCGGTATATACAAGGGTGCTAGAGATTGTATTGTGCAAACATTGAAAAAGATGAATGAAATATAGTGTTTGTATTAGGGGATTAGGGTTTGAGAAACTTGTATTAGATAAATCAGTTCGATTTTTACCCACGGATATAGGATATAAGTCGAACCACCTTAAATATCTGTATTAAATGTGATGCATGTATATTTTTAAAGGTATGTGGCGTATGATTTAAGTCACACAATTTTTCTCAATAAGTATGGTTCTCACGCTTTATATGTACTCTCGCTCCCATCCTGATTCTGTATAACTTAAATTTTACTCTTTTCGTGCTCCCGTTCTAAAATTCACTCACTCCCGCTCCCTTTGTATTTGACTTGGCGCATAAATTTTGTTTTTGTTATTTCTTTACTGTTTTTGTGCTTTCTTGCGATTTGTCACTAACACCTTATTTAAAAATGAAT